CACTGGAACGTGCTTGGCAAACCCTGCAGAGGGTACGAACTGTGTCTTCTGCACCGATGTTATTCTCACTGTAATTTTCTCCAAGTGTTCCCATTTTTTCAGTGTTTGAGATTCACACAGATACACACACACGCGCACACAGAGACACCCATACATACAGTACACACAGGATTTCTCATCACATATTGGCTTGGGTAGCAGCTGCATCTAGTACAACAAAGTAGGTGCTGTTTGAGTAGGGTCCCCATCTGTTTCTAAAATTTTATTCACAATAGCATAAGGGACAGTTGAGCCAAGCACATTTTCCTAAATTATAGCTCAGGAATGTTACTTAAGATGCAGACTTCTCATTTGCATTACAGCTCAAGCTTAGAAACAATCCATGTAAATGTATTTTGAAATTTTGACCATTCAAAGTTTTGTTAAACTTGTCATTTTTTCCAGTTTACCATCATCTACAAGTTTCTACAGATACAAGCCAGCAAACCACAGAAACATAATCGAGAATGATGACTTTAAATCTCCAATATGTAGTTTCTGAAATAAAATCAACATTATATTTTATTTTATAGAGGACATGCTTACTCGTGGGCAATAAAGAAATATAGAAATAAATCTTGCCATTGTCTGGTATGACTGGAAAGCTATGTGATGTTATTGAATGTTTATGATCAGTCACCTTGCTTAAATGAACTTGCAAATCCTACTTTTGAACAGAAATGAATCTTTCAGTGTTTGTATCTATACAGTGGCTTGCAAAAATATTATATGCTTGATATAGTATGTGAGAAATAAGCGTATATATATATATATATATATTTATTTATTTATTTATTTATTTATTTGAGTACACAGCCACTCGGGCTGCCAGGTTCATTTAAGTGGAGATGAGTAACAGACAACTGTAAAGCTAGCACTTGTATTTTAAGGCAGAAGAGTTAGGCAGCTGTGAGACAGGTTGGCTCAGGGACTGACAGACCAAAGGAGTAGAGATAATACTGCATCTCAGAGGTGGACATAAGTAAAAGGTGAAATCATCTTTTCCAGTTAGATCTGCCTTGAAGGATGAAAATACTAACAGGGGGATCCAAAGAAACAAATGACCAATTAGCTACATACACTGGCTTGCAAAAGTATTCGGCCCCCTTGAACTTTCCCACATTTTGTCACATTACAGCCAAAAACACGAATCAATTTTATTGGAATTCCATGTGAAAGACCAACACAAAGTGGTGCACACGTGAGAAGTGGAACCAAAATCATACATGATTCCAAACATTTTTTACAAATAAATAACTGCAAAGTGGGGTGTGCGTAATTATTCAGCCCCCTGAGTCAATACTTTGTAGAACCACCTTTTGCTGCAGTTACAGCTGCCAGTCTTTTAGGGTCTGTCTCTACCAGCTTTGCACATCTAGAGACTGAAATCTTTGCTCATTCTTCTTTGCTAAACAGCTCCAGCTCAGTCAGATTAGATGGACAGCGTTTGTGAACAGCAGTTTCAGATCTTGCCACAGATTCTGGATTGGATTTAGATCTGGACTTTGACTGGGCCGTTCTAACACATGGATATGTTTTGTTTTAAACCGTTCCATTGTTGCCCTGGCTTTATGTTTAGGGTCGCTGTCCTGCTGGAAGGTGAAGCTCCGCCCCGGTCTCAAGTCTTTTGCAGACTCCAAGAGATTTTCTTCCAAGGTTGCCCTGTATTTGGCTCCATCCATCTTCCCATCAACTCTGACCAGCTTCCCTGTCCCTGCTGAAGAGAAGCGCCCCCAGAACATGATGCTGCCACCACCATATTTGACAGTGGGGATGGTGTGTTCAGAGTGATGTGCAGTGTTAGTTTTCTGCCACACATAGCGTTTTGCATTTTGGCCAAAAAGTTCCATTTTGGTCTCATCTGACCAGAGCAGCTTCTTCCACATGTTTGCTGTGTCCCCCACATGGCTTGTGGCAAACTGCAAACGGGACTTCTTATGGTTTTCTGTTAACAATGGCTTTCTTCTTGCCACTCTTCCATAAAGGCCAACTTTGTGCAGTGCACGACTAATAGTTGTCCTGTGGACAGATTCCCCCACCTGAGCTGTAGATCTCTGCAGCTCGTCCAGAGTCACCATGGGCCTCTTGGCTGCATTTCTGATCAGCGCTCTCCTTGTTCGGCCTGAGAGTTTAGGTGGACGGCCTTGTCTTGGTAGGTTTACAGTTGTGCCATACTCCTTCCCTTTCTGAATGATGGCTTGAACAGTGCTCCGAGGGATGTTCAAGGCTTGGGAAATCTTTTTGTAGCCTAAGCCTGCTTTAAATTTCTCAATAACTTTATCCCTGACCTGTCTGGTGTGTTCTTTGGACTTCATGGTGTTGTTGCTCCCAATATTCTCTCAGACAACCTCTGAGGCCGTCACAGAGCAGCTGTATTTGTACACAGCAAAATCTCCAGTGTTAAATTAACACTAGAGAGTGTCTATATGGGTCCACACCTCTGAGTGTTAAATACAACACTGTTGAGTGTTAAAGTAACACTTTTGACAGTGTTATATGTTTAAAAGAAACCTAGTCAGTTTTGAAGATTAACAAAGACTAACACTGAGCAGTGCTGATTTTCTAACACTGGAAAATAACTCAAAATGTTAGAAATATTCCAACACTCAGAGGTGTGGACCCATATAGACACTCTCTAGTGTTAATTTAACACTGGAGATTTTGCTGTGTAATGTCCAGTGTTGTGCAATCCACATTATTTAGTGTCTTCTGCAGTGCAAATATGCTTAAAGTGATTTAAGTGATGAAGTGAAAACAATGTCCAGAATGTCCAGTGTGTGTGTAAGAACCATATGTGTGGGTCAGTACTGTGTGGTGGTGTGATTGAGAGACCGTATCGCCTGCGGGAAGAAGCTCCTCCTCAGTCTCTCTGTGTTGGTCTTCAGGGAGCGGAATCGCTTTCCTGACCTCAACAGAGAGAACAGTCTGTTGTTGGGATGGCTGAGGTCCTTCACCATCTTCCTGGCCTTGGTCCAGCACCGCCTGCTGTAGACTGAGTGCAGGTCAGGGAGCGCGGAGCGGATGGTGCGCTCAGCTGACCGCACAACCCTCTGTAGAGCTCGTCTGTCCTGCATGGTGCTGTTTCCGAACCAGGTTAAGATGTTTCCCGCCAGGATGCTCTCTATGGTGCAGGAGTAAAAGTTCCTGAGCACCTTGGAGGGCAGTTGGAAGTCTCTCAAGCGTCTGAGGTGGTAGAGACGCTGACGGGCCTTTTTCACCACGGTGTTGATGTGACAGGACCATGACAGGTCCTGCGTGATGTGAACTCCGAGGTATTTGAAGCTGTCCACTCTCTCCACTGGGCACTCGTTGATGACGGGGGTCTGGTAGTTCCTCTCCTGCTTAGTGCTGAAGTCCACTATCAGCTCCTTTGTCTTACTGACGTTTAGAAGGAGGTTGTTCCTCTGGCACCAGTTCTCCAGTTTCCTAATCTCCTTCAGGTAGGCCGTCTCGTTGTTATCAGAGATCAGGCCCACCACGACGGTGTCGTCAGCAAACTTGATGATGGTGGTGGAGCTGGTAGTGGCCACATAGTCATATGTGTACAAAGAGTACAGCAGGGGGCTCAGAACACACCCCTGGGGGCTCCAGTGCTGAGCCACTGTATATGTTAAAATGTAGTGTAGTGACAGTATGCTGCACTGTGCAGAATGTTGCTTAAATGTGTAAATCAAGCTTGGGTAACACTCCTATTTCATTAAGTGAGTTTGCGTGAGTGGGTTTGGTTTGTCACGCATGAAAAATTTGAAATGCATAGTTCACAAGTGTGCCTGAAGCAACTCGCTCTTGATTGTTGAAGTTTTTGTGTCACAGATTATTCATATTTATCAATAATGTTATGATGTATGGGAAATACAGTGAGGACCCCAGAATGCAGGACTTGGCAAAATGGAGATGAACTCAAAATCACATCTTTAATGCAGGTAAAAATGGGGACAAAAAAAAACAAAGGGCAAAATACAAAACCAAACAGTAACAGGACAACTGGCTGCCTGACATCATGAGGCACCGGGGACTAAAAGCAAAGATAAACTCACAATCATAGAAGGCTCTAAACGATAGCAATGATGAAATTAGTGAGGAGGTTAAAGGATCACATACTTGGTGAACAAGGTGGGACGAGTAGCCACAGAAAAAAGAAAATCATTGTGTGTGTCATTTGTCACAGAACTCCCTTCTCAAAGATACTTAGCCTATTGTTAAAGAGTTTTAAATCAGATACCGCAAGACCAACGAGGCAATATGGTAGTGGTGCTTATTGCAAAGAAACTAAAAAAGAGCAGATGATCAAAAGCACTTTCTCCTGAAAATACAGTTAAAGAACAACTTCTCATATGTCAGATGACACAGATTGGAATATGGCAGGGGCTTAAAATTTTGTCTCGAGCTTTTGTGTTCCATGGGCACAAAAATACTAGTTTGAACAAAGTGGCATAGATGTAGCACACGTCTCCATACTTCATGCAAGTATATTAATATATAAATATAAAAGTAACACAACAAACAATGACAGAAGACAACCTTTTCCTCATTACCACATGCTTTTAGTAGTGTGTTCAGCTCGTGATAATTGATGCTCTCTTAACTTGTTTAGGCTTTTAAAGATGGCCATCTGTATGTGACGCCATACGGTAAATCGTCACATAAATAGTGTTGCTTAATGACAATGATGCTACAGTGAATAAGATGGGATTCTAATGGAGAAGTGAATGAGTATAACTGCCGTTTAAAGCGCAGGTATTTGCTTTGTAATTGTGATTCATTATAACATAACAGCTTTTTTTAAATTCTAATGACACGTGAAACTCCCCAGCTTCTCTGTCATTTTCCTGCATGCTAGCAGGGGTAAAATGGAATGTGATGAATAGGCTTTCACTGCTCAAAAACTGTATTGTGATAAATTACCTGAGACTAACTTTGTTGTTTTCTCCTTCTCTCTGTCTCTGCTGAATTCCCTGCAGATGAATTCAAAGCCTTCCTGAAGCGATTGCCCACTGATCGCTTCCTGAATGTGTCCATGATAGCCAAGCTCTGGTCAGCCGACTTAACCCTCCAAAAACGTTATGCCCAGCTGGAGGCCAACACCGTCCTTGTCCTCAGCAAAGCCCAGAAGATCATCAGGAAACTGTTCACGCTGAGTAAACGCTGCCCCAAACAGCCCCGCATCAGTCTCCCCCAACAAAGGTAGCTCACCGGGACACACTGACAGAGAACAAACCATTACTGGTATTTTATCTGGCTGCTGTGTTTGCAGCTATGGACTCTTTAACAGCCCACCTCAAAGGGGTGCACACATACCCCTTTATAAAACATTTGTTGATTGCACTGGAATTACATGGGTTTCGGCCTTGGGTTGTCTCTGTTGTAGGTTATGCATTACAATTTCTCTCACGTTTAAACCTCTTGGGCTATTTGACTGGCCACTTTATAACATTTACCTTGCTAGTACCAGGTTGGAACCCTGTTTGCCTTCCAATTGTCTTAATTCTCAATGGCATAGATTTAGCAAAAACATTCCTCAGTGAGTTTAGTCCATTTTGAGATAACAGCATCACACAGTTGCTACAGATTTGTCAGCTACACATACATAATGCAAATTGCCAATGGAGAAAAGGTGCTCTGTTGAATTGAGATGCTCTGACCGTTGGCCATTTGAGCACAGTGAACTCACTGTCACGTTCAAGGAACCAGTTTCAGGTGATTTGAGCGCTGTGACATGGCGTGTGATTCTGTTGGAAGCAGCCATCATAAAATGGGCATACTGTGGTCATAAAGGGATGGACACAGTCAGCAACAATACTGAGGTATGATGCTGCATTTTAATGATGCTCAGCTGGTACTAAAGGGCCCAGAATCTGCAAAGAAAATACTCCACACCAATACATCGCTACCAAGATACAAGACAGGATGGATGTGACACGTCTTATTTTGTGTTTATATATGTGTGTGTGTTCCTGTCTAGCTATCTTTGTGAGGACCGAAATCTGCCTTCTACTATACTTGTGAGAACCAACAGTCACTTGTGAGGACACACACACCGGTCCTCACAAATTTCAAGGCCTTTTTGAGGCTCAAAATGTGGTTTTAGTGTCAGGGTTACAATTAGGTTATGGTTAGGTTTGGGGTAAGGCTTAGGGTCAGGCATTTATTTTAATGGTTAGAGTTAGGGTAAGGGGCCAGGGAAACCATTATGTCAATGAAGGCCCTCACTAAGATAGCTTAATGGGCTTGTGTGTGTGTGTGTGTCTGTGTCAAGATTAGAGAAATTACATGGCCAAGATTTTATTATATTCTCTCCCTCCCTCGCTCACAGACACATAACGGGTATGGCAGTCCATTCTCCCTGCAGCACGGACTACACTGCCCATGAGGCTACATTCTTTAGTGTTACAGGCGATGCCTGTAACACTCTGCCTGTTACCTTCATATTAAATCGTTTTTGTGAATAATTTTTAAAAATATTTCTTCACGTCATTATGCGGACCGCAAGGAGGGGTGACATGGGCCGCAAGATTGAGACACAGACGTTACAGCCTCTTAATGTGTGTTTTGTCAAAAGTAGAGAGGGCATAGCCGAACCTACGAAACAGGAAAATACCTCAGTGTAATCCCTTTATTTCAGCAAAGTAACTGTATTCTGAATACCACCTTTTTAAACGGTAACTGTAACGGAATACAGTTACTCATATTTTGTATTTTAAATACGTAACGGCGGTACATGTATTCCGTTACTCCCCAACACTGCACATAGATCTGTAATCTTGTACTGAAGGCTGCGACTGAGTTCCAGAATGACCTTATGTTCATGTAATTCCCAGGGACGCGGGAACTTGTGTTTGTAACATGGAACAGGCACAACTTCTGATAAGAAGTCATTGCAGCTGAACAGACAGACAAAAAAGAGCGCTGCCTTTGTTGAAATCACCTCTTCAAATCATGTAACGAGTTAACTGACTCCCACAGTCTGAGTGAATTCTGCACGTGACCTCACTCAGTTTCAGTTTTTTGATTGATTGTTTTGTTTTTGCTGTTGTTTTTTTAAGGGAAAAATGAAGAAAGACCTTCAATTCAAACAATGCCAAAATGCCTCAAGGCGCTTTATATTGTAATGTAGACCCTACAATAATACATAGCAAAAACCCAACAATCATGTGACCTCCTATGAACAAGCACTTTGGCGACAGTGGGAAGGAAAAACTCCCTTTTAACAGGAAAAAACCTCCAACAGAACCAGGCTCAGGGAGGGGCGGGGCCATCTGCTGTGATCGTTTGGGGTGAGAGAAGGAAGACATGATAAAGACATGCTGTGGAAGAGATACAGAGATTAATAACAAGTATGATTCAATGCAGAGAGGTCTGTTAACACATATTGAGTGAGAAAAGTGACTGAAGAAGAAATACTCAATGCAACATGGGAATCCCCCAGCAGCCTACACCTATTGCAGCATAACTAAGATAAGATTCAGGGTCCAGCCCTAACTATATGCTTTAGGAAAAAGGAAAGTTTGAAGCCTAATCTTAAAAGTAGAGATAGTGTCTGTTTCCCAAACCAAAACTGGAAGCTGGTTCCACAGAAGAGGGACCCGAATACTGGTATACTGCTCTCCCTCCCATTCTAATAAAAACCTACAACCTATGAAAAGTATGTGGGCCTTGAGAGGTCAAATGGACTGCAGCTTAAGAAAACACCAGAACATGAAAGTGTCCTTCTATCAGGATTTCTCAGCCGAGGTGGCACGAAAGAGAAAGGAGTCGGTGAATGCGCGTTACTTGTAACGCGTTACTGTAATCTGATTACTTTTTTCAAGTAACGAGTAAAGTAAGGGATTACTATTGCAAAAATGGTAATTAGATTACCGTTACTTTCCCGTAGGAACGCTGTGTTACTGCGTTACTAAAACCGTGATTTTTTTGCGAGAATGTCTCATGACAGTGACGTAAGCAAGTGCAACGTTGGTGACAACAGCTGTGTACAGATCAACAACGGATCACATATCGAGTGCGGAGAGAGTATGAGCGTGCAGCGTTTAAAGCGTGGAAGTACTGACCTTACTTTGAGTTTGATTCCATAAAAAGTGACAAAAACATTAGCGTCCGTTGTGCGTGGGAAGAAAACTTCTTTTTACAGCGACAAAAACCCCTAAACTTCCAAGCAAGCACCAAGTGCGCTATGACGTAATGGGAAATTCACAGAGAAACTCGCGGATTCTTCCACTGACCGCTGCGGCACACCTGCACCAGGGTAAACCTCCGCCTACTCTACTCCTGCTTTACAGGTGAAAATAGAGCAAAAGGACCGCTAGACCAAAGGACTTTATTTATTTTCTGCTGTGTTTTACTTGAATCTATTTGAAAGAGTGAGTGTAAACACACACAAAAAAAAATGTATGTGCTGGAATGTGCATAAAATAGGTTTAAATGCTAAACTAATTTCTTCCAGTCAGAGAATGTTGCATATAATTAAATTTTTTGCTTGATGCATAAAGTTAAAAGATTAAAACCAATAAAACAAGTTTTAAAAAGAGACTTTTCCATTTGATTACATTTTGTATGATGGATTATGCAGAAAAAGTAGAATTGGGCTGAAAGATCTATCGCTTTATCACCTCTTCAGGTTGTAAATCGCGTTTTTAAAAAGTAACTAAGTAACTAAGTGATTAATTACTTTTGAAAATAAGTAATCAGTAAAGTAACGGGATTACTTTTTTGGGGAAGTAATCAGTAATTAGTTACTGATTACTTTTTTTCAAGTAACTTGACCAACACTGCTCGCGACCATCCAGGACGTCAAGGACTATGTGAGCAAATTGCCAAGACCTAAATAAACTGTTGGTGCACGACAGTGCCATTCATATGTAAGTTACAAACTCGAGGCTTACAGCATTACAGTACTGTTAACGAGCTAAGGTATAGAGTATACTTTGATTTTTGACATACACTCCAGTGCGGGGATGGTACGCGTCTGTATCCCCTACAGCTGTACTTTAGAGCAGGGTACATCTAGATGTGTAATTTATTTTACTTTACTTTGTGTTATTTGTGTTGGGGAGGGTTGAGGTTTCCAGGCTTTGTGTTCAGGTTTTGCTGGGAACCAGTGTTCTTGTTTTATGTTCAACTATTTTGGTTAATAGGTTAAAACTGGTCAAATGTAGATTTGGTTAAATATGTAAACAGCATATGCTTTTCTTGTATGTCAGTTAAGATAAGTACTTGGAATGTTAAAGGGTCCAACAATGTGATGAAAAGAAAGTCAATTTTAAATTCTCTGAAGAAAGGTTTTATTCACATTGCTTTTTTGCAAGAAATCCATCTGACAGATGATGAACATAGAAAATACTGTAAAGAATGGGTTGGTCATATTTTTTTCTCATCCTACTCCACAAATAAAAGGGGGGTTATTACCCTTATACACAAAAATCTTCCCTTCACTGTTACAGCCACTCACAAGGACAATGATGGAAGGTATATATTGGTTAAAGGCATGTTGCATGGGGAAACTGTTTTCCTAGGTAATATATATGCGCCGAATGCACAGGATGATGAGTTTTACACAGTATTATTTAGTCAATTAGTGGACATGGACTGTGCTAATTTAATACTAGTGGGTGACTTTAACTGTGTTCTATGCCCCAAAATGGATAAATCTCCCCCACAATCTACTTTGTCAAAAAATCCCAAAACCCTTTGGCAAATTATAAATGAGCTTGACCTTATAGATGTCTGGCGACACTATAACCCATTATCTAAAGAATACACTTTCTACTCTAACCCTCACTTGTCAGCATCTCGTATAGATTATATTTTTATGTCCAAGTGTATCAGTCAGTTAGTTCAAGCAGGTAAATATTGGTCATATAGGTCTCTCTGACCATGCTCCTGTAGTCCCAACCCATGAGACATATTGAGCGCTCTAGGTCTTGGAAGATGAGCACACTGTCTCTTTTGGATGAGAAATTTATACACTTCATAACAGAGCAAACAACATTATTTTTTAGAAATAAATGATAAAGGGGAGATAGACACGAGAACTTTATGGGATAGCTATAAGGCTTACATGAGAGGGATGATTATTTCATACACAAGTCATAAAAGAAAGCAACGATTAACAAGGCAGTTAGAGATCGAGAATAATATAAAAAAGCTGGAGAAACAATATTATGTAACAAAATCAGCTGAAACATTAA